TCAGAGGACAGCACAACAACGAGCGTCCTTGCGGAGGCCAGAGGAGCCAGGGCAGCATAGCTGTGTGTGTGGCTGCTGAGCCGAGCCCTCAGTGTTACTACTGCTGAGTCTCTTGCCATGCTGGCCAGGGGTGTTGGAGGTGGAGGTGGGTCTGAGTTCAGGTCCTGCTGGTGCCACAGGCTCCCAAGCTGGCTTTGAGCAAACCCTTTAGTCCCAGTGAAACGGAAAGGATCCAGGCTCCCCACTTTTTTGAAAGGAAAAGGACCGGTTGGCAGCAGGTGGCGGGAGGGACCTTAGCCTGCCTGCCTGCCTGCCTGGCTCTCTGCCCGCCACCCCTCTCTCAATCTCTTGGCGCCTGGTGTCCCTTTGGTGCCACTGACAGGAGGCCGGGCTGGGCCTGCGCAGCTTCGAGCCTGAAGAGAGCTCTTAAGGGGGGGGCGTTACAGGTGGGGCTGGGGGAGCCTTCCCTTTGAACAGCACCAGGTGGGGGGCTGGCGGGTCAGGAAGGGGTGGGCGACTGTTCTCGTTGGTCACTCTTGAGCTTGCTGGCTGGGCCACTGTGAAGGGGGGCTGAACATGGCGAGGGCAGGAGAGACCCTGGACTCCCTGGGAGCCGCCCTGCCCCGCCCCGCCCCATGGCCACGGCCTCAGTTGGCCCTCGCTGGGAAAGGCTGCTGGCCCCTCCCCATTGGGAGCACCTCGAGAACTGGGAAGCCCAAGCCGCCGTGGGGTGGGGGGGAAAACGCCTGGTTTCAGAGTCCTTCGCTTCCCCATCCCACTTTGCTAGCAAGAAAGTGGTGACAAGGGAGGCACTCTGTGTGTGTGTGTGTGTGTGTGTGTGTGTGTGTGAGAGAGAGAGAGAGAGAGAGAGAGAGAGAGCAACTGGAAATTCCACCCCATCCCTTCTTTTTAAAAAGGAGGACAGTGAGTTGGGGGCAGGAGGGGCTGCAGTGAGGAAGCAGGAGTAGCCAGTCCCCATGTTTCCACAGAGCTACCCCACACACATACCTTGAGCCCCCCCCCAGGCCCTTGACAGGGGTCTTGCCTAGACTGTCCTCGTGAGAGCCCCCATCCCCTCCTTCCGCAGCTTAGATCCAGCTTGATTTTGGGAGCTTGTTTTCCAAGAGCATCCGAGCTGCAGCTTCCTCTCTCGGTCTGCCTCTCTCTCTGTGTGTGTGTGTGTGTGTGTGTGTGTTGGCGCACTGGTGCCCCGGTAGGGACGGGGAGCCCCTCCTGCTTCACCCAAACCTGGCTCGTGTGACCTGTGAGGCTGGCGTCTTCTCTTAGCTCCCCAGGGAGATTTTGCCCCTTTTGCCAGAGGGCGAGGCCAGAGAAGGAGATGAGCATCCGTGGGGCAAACAGAGTGGGCCTGTGTGTGTTACAGGGAGAACAGGGAGC